TGGTTGTGAATGTGTCACATTTACAGAAACACAGGTGGAGTTTATGCCTGTTTAGAGAACTGAGGCGGGTGTTGTATAATGTTGGAGTTTACTCTGAGAGCGGAAACCATCAGATCAGTGTCTGGAAGCAAACTCTTAAACCTTTTACAGCTTTATGGCTCATCGTAATGACGTGTGGTCACACTGATATGATCCATGACCAACAGTCAGCAGATTATCAGGTTATAACACAACACACTCCGTCTGCCTTCAGCATGTTTACTGTCTGGTTTCAGTTTTACTCTGACCGTGGGCAGCCTTGATCGGCTTTCTCTTTAATCGGGTCAGTGAATGCATCGTTCCAGGAAACAGTTTGTGGGAAGACGGGCACAATAAACAGGAGTAATATAATACAGTCTGGGTTGATAGAAGTCATACATGCAGCACATTTCTGCACATCTCAGTCCTCTGTGGTTCTACTGACGCCGCTCTTCCCTTTAACCTCCATAATTAATAATACTGTGGAGTCGTAGCTTCATTATTTTATTATAGTGCAGTAAAGTTGCACTAAAGGGAGTTCTAATTCCTCTTATTTCAATTCTTCTGCTAAATTCAGATCATTTAGGACCCTGTGGGATCACATTAGTTTACAACACCGATCTTATTTTACTACACGGTGAAAAACAAAATGGCAGCAAGATGTGATTCTATTGTGAAAGAAGAATTAGTTGATGTCCAGACTTTTGACGACATTATTTACAGTTTTAGTCAAATTAATTCTTTTGTGTGAGTGTTTTACTGGTTATTACCTGTAATTCAACAACAGCTATCAATGATCTACACTTATAAACCCCACATGTTTCTTTCAAATAAATGAATCAAACATTAAATAAAACAGTGATTTAATTAGATTTCTAGTCTGTGACGGTTGAGAAGCATCGAGTTCTGGTTGTGATCTGTGCTTTGAGGAGGTTCTACGTTTTTAGCCGTCTGATGAAAGGACGTTTAGTCTTTGGGTGATGACAATATAAATATAAATATACTCAGACTGTAGATGTTTGTAGGGATGTGATGAATAGTTTATGTTACTGACTGATGCTGGATGACGCTGCTCAGCTTCATTCATTCTTCTAACCTGGTAAAAAGACAGAGTGAACCGTGACTGTTAGATTTATTCTGTTTATTCTTTATTGACACATAAATACATGAAACACCAGAACACGTGTAAACACTCGACAGGTATGTACAGTTTGTGCAGAACATTTCCTTCATGGACAGTTTTAGGAGAAAGCAGCTTTCTGTCTCGTTCAGGTCCTGCTGCCGTCAGTCGACCCTCCTGCTGGTCATCATCACCGTCTAACTGATGGAGGGAGTCCGCGTTCTGGCGTTCCCCTTCTCCACCAGCTTCGTGGCTGAGATCCCCACCTTCCCCACGTCTTTCTCTGGCGGGAACGCGGCCGAGATCTCCACGTTCCTGACATCTTTCTCCGGATCAGCGAATGGGAACACTTCCCTGGTGAGGCTCGTCACGAGGCACGGCATCTGCTTCTTCCCGCCCAGCTCGCGCCCTTTGGCCTGGAAGGTGTAGGCCACCTGGTGGGAGAGCCGGGTCATCAGACGGGTCAGCTCCAGGTCCCGATGGCCGTCCTCCTGCAGCAAGGTGCAGAATGTCTGGAGGAACACTGAACCGAGGGGGTGCATGAACGCTCCATAACCTGATGGAGAGGATGGAGGAAACCTGGTTTAGTCAGAGTTTATGGTTCAGACTGAAACATTTCCGATGTCTGGAAAATCTGAAATCATTTGTGTTCCCTCTGCCATCTTTTTTTGTGTTCTTGGTGAAGTTCAAAAGGATTTTTAAAAGAGTTCTCCACTGAAAAGGTTGTTTGGGTCATTTAGGAGATTTTAGGGATCCTGGAGAAGGTTCTGGGGGCCGGCTGGTAGGATCTAGTCCAATGAGGAGGTTAGATGTTCTGATAGCAGGGAGGTCCTACAGGTGGCTTAGGAGGCTTCAATGGCCATTAAAAGGTTCTAGATGTTCTTTCAGAGGTTCTAGGGCCTATTCTACAGGTTATACTGGTTGTAGGTCACTGAGAAGGTTCTAGAGGTCCCTTAGGTGACTGTAGTTGTCTCTGAAAAGGGTCTGTGGGTCATTTAGGAGGTTCTAGTGGTAGTTTGTGTTTCAGTAGTAACTGAGGAGGTTCTAGGGGTAGTTTGCATGTCTTTAGTGGTCACTAAAGAGGTTCTACAGGTAGTTTAGGTCTTCTCGTGGTGGTTCTACAACCTGTTATGAGGTTTAAGTGCTCAGTGGGTATGTTCTCAAGGGTAGTTTAGGAGGCAGTAGTGGTCCGTGAGGAGATTCTACATGCGGTTTATGTGTCTTTAGTGGTCACTGAACAGGTCCTACAGGTAGTCTAAGTGTTTTAGTGGTGACTGAGGAGGTTCTGCCGGACGCTCAGGTGTGTTCAGGTGTAGCTGTGGTGGGCCGGTGTTTACCTGGCGCTGTGGCGTACATCACAGCTGTGTCTATGGGAACAGAGAGGCACTGTGAGGAGCTGCTGTCTACGGTGTCACACACTGAATCCACCTCCACGCCGTTGTCCAGAGCGTGGCCTCGACAGGCCTGCAGAGACAGAACCGAGACAAAGTTCAGTTTAACAGATCCTGAAGGAAACTGGTCCACCTGGTCCAAACCAAACAGCAGAGACTCCAGCTGCTCACCTGTATGAGGAACATTTTGGCCTTGTTCTCCATGCATTTGTTGCCAAAATACGAGAAGATCCGAGACAGTTGGACGGGTTCCCCATCAGCTCCGAACACGCAGCCTTCCTCGCCGTGAGACGACAAGACGGCCAAGAAACAGTCCTTCACCGGCCGCCGGCTCTCTGCAGGACAGACAGTCGGGTACAGTCATTATTAGAGAGATTTAATAGTCAGTCAGAGGTCGTAGAGGTTCTTAAGGAGGTTCTAGAGGCTCTTGAGGACGGTCTACGAATCACTAACAAGATTCTGTGAGTCCCCAGGAGTTGTAGTGGTCATTGAGAAGGTTCTACGGGTAGCTTAGATGTTGTGGTCCTCGTCAAGGAGGTTCTACAGCTAGTTTAGAAGGTTTTGATTGACAATGAAAGGTTCTACAGGTCCTTTAGGAGAACCAAGGGGCTCTTAATGGGGTCCACTGGTCATTGAAGGGGTTCTAGGGGTCCCTTAGGAGATTGTAGTGGTCACTGAGAAGGATCTAGAGGTGTTTTAGGAGGCCGTCCTGGTAAATGAAGGCGTTTTACAGGTAGTTCAGATGTTTTATTGGTTACTGAGGAGGTTCTGCAGGTAGATCAGGAGGTTCTAGAGGTGTAGCTGCTGAAGGGCTTGTTTACCTTCACCTGATGCACAAACACAGCAGAACGAGACGCTCAGTCATTATTAGTCACAACGCAGCAGAGCAAACAGGTATTTACGCTGCAGCTCATCACACCTGTTTGAACAGGTGAGTGTACAGGTGAGAGAACATTCAGTCCTGAGGCTGTCAACAGAACCCGTCCACCGTTTCTGGACAGTTTTATCTGTCAGTGATAAGCGGCTGTAAAACTCTGCTGGACGTCCAGCTTGTTTTTAGCTTGTTGTTCTGGTTACATCATCAGTGTTACATAAAGACCAGGTCACCGAGTCACAACAACAAGTCTCCTCAGGCTGCTGACGATGGTCGGGGTTCTTTAAGAGGTTCTGGTGGTACCCGAGGAGGCTGCACAGGTTGTAGAGACACAAACTACAAAGCAGAGATCCTGTATGGATCGCTGAGGAGGTTCCACATGACCTACATGAAAGTCACCTGTGCAATAAAGACGTTCCCAAGAGGTTCTAGCTGTCACTAAGGAAGCTCTGGAGGTCCAATAAGAGTCTTGTGGTCACTGGTGAGGTTCTACCGGTTCTTTAAGAGTGAGGTGGGGAAGGTTTAGGAGGCTTTCAACAGGTTCTGCTGGGCCTTTTAGAGATTTTAGGGATCAGTCATCCAAGTGACTTTTTGGAGGTTCTAGTTGCAATAAGAGTTTACAGAGGAGCTGGTGGCCACTGAGGCGGGTCTAGAGGTTCTATGACCGGTTCTGATGGTCATAGACATCTGACAGGTAGTCCGTACGGGTTTTTTGGGGAATGATAATGTCAATGATGAGGTTCTAAAGGGTTCTTTAAGAGGTTTTCCTAAGTGGGGTGTACAGCAGCTGTCCTTTAGGTGGTTCTAGTGGAAACTGAGGAAGTTCAAGAGATTCATTAAGAGGCTTTAGTTCCAAACAAGAAACCACAGTAAGTTCTGTTGGAGATTTAGGGTCCTTTTGGAGGTTCTAGTCTTCAGTGAGAGGCACTAAGGGCTCTCAGGGATGTTCTAGGGACTGTGGAAGAGTTTGTAGGAAGTCTTAAGAGGATTTACGGGACCCACAGACAGATCTAGAGGTCTGTTAGGATGTTCTAGTGGTCTAGTTGAATTCTAGGTATTTTTTGCGTCCCGTGCTGAGTATGATGCATAAAACCTGCTGGACTCTGGTGACAGAACATGAAAGGCATGCGTTCTCTGGTCTAAGTTCCTGAACTGTATGATTTTAGTGTTCTGGCTTCATAACAACAGAATAAACAGGATAATGTGCAGAACCTGCGTTACCTTTCCAGAACAGCTCGTAGATCTCGTCGCTGCTCAGGTCGTTGTGCAGCTGCACCTTGAAGCCCAGCCTGCTCAGGGTTTTGTGGAGCTTCTTGGCGTCCCGCTTGGCTCCGTGCCGGTGGCTCAGCGGAACACCTGGGTAGAACTGTTCCACGGACACCACGACCGCCCGGTTCTGCTCCACGGCCATCAGTCGTCTGCTGTGCAGCATGTTCAGGTAAAGTCTGTATGAATGAAGCCGCTGCTGAATCAGTCACTCCTGGAGTCTGAGTTTCCTCTTAACTCTCTGAACACACCTGTGAAGCTGCTGCCACACCTCCACACGACCATGTTTGGTCGCTTCCTGCTGTGTGAGCACATAGTGTTACATAAATCTGTAGGTTTCCTCTCTGCCAGGAATCTACGCTGTACAGTCCTCCCACATGTCGGCTACCAGCTGTCATTTCTTCAGAGTGTACTTTTCTCAGGTATGTTCTCATCAGGTGTTCTCATCAGGTGTGTTCCTGCCAGGTGTTCCTGTCAGCAATTTGCTTCTCCAGGCTGTGAAACAGATGACGACAGATGAAGTGAAACTAAAAATGTACTTGAATCAGAAGTTATCCTAATAATTCACCATTATATGTAATGACAACAAAGCAGAAAGTATTATCACGTAAATAAATAAATGCATTTTATAAACTACTTTATAAACTTTATAAACTAATGAATTAAATGAATTATCCTAATTTAGAGTTTAAGAAACGACCAGAGACAACAGAAGGAAAGTATTTCTGTGACTTCTGAATCTGTCAAATATGTGAATGAACTTTGCAGAAGTAAAAATAGAAACGATCTTTTTACTCGTCGTCTCTTCTTCAGTAAACCGATTCTGTTTTTGCACGTCTTAAACTTGTTCATGTATTTGTCATTTTTACACTAAATTAATTCTCTGTTCCTGTTTTTCCTTGTTTTTATGTCTATAATAGTTGAATGAGTAAATATGGAAATAAATCTACTGACTTCCCTGATTAAATGAAAGTGCTCCAAATGCAAAAGTCTAATGAATTAAAAACAAATGAATATTTATTTAGCTATAATATTTGTAATTTATTAATTTAATGAAGTGATTCTCTGCACATTGTGTTATATCTGCTCTTTTTCCTGTCTAATAAATGATTGTAAAATTAATAAAGGTGTATATTTATTTTCAGAATATTAATCAGAAATGAATTCATAATCACAATTATAATATAATAATAACTTGATAATGATACAGTTTTAATAAATTAATTCCTATATAAATTATTTTTCACATGTATGTGTAAAATTTATAGAGAAACAACGTAAAATCAATCCTAGAATTAAAAGTTTTATTGGTCTTTCCGTCGCTCTGTTCCTCCCACAGACTTCATAATAAAAGCCTTTATTTATATCTGTATCTGTGGTGTTCCTCCAGCAGGCGGCGGCCGTGCGTCGGCCTGCGTGTCTACGTCATCAACGTGCGCCCGCAGTCGGCGTCCCGCAGCAGCTGCCTCCAGCCGTCTTGTTTTCTTTTGCGGCAGCAGAAACGGACAGAAACGTGAGTTCAGGGAGAGTCTGAGGCGTCAGACGGACTTTATGTGTTTCTTAGAGTTTAAATGTTTTAAATGAAGCTGCGGCCGGAAGCAGAAATCAGCTGGTGACGCTGGAGTCTGGACACGTGGTGCTTTAGATGGTGTTACGGTCTCTGGGGATAAAAACAGAGAAAGCAGAAGAACATGTCGAGACACAGAAAGAAGAACGGAATCCCGGACAGGTGAGAAAGAGAAGACTGTGGAGCTGCTTCATCTGGAAAACATGATCAGCTGAATGTCCACCAACTCATCAACTGTTTAATTAACTGTTATAATAATTAACTGTTTAATTAACTGTTTAATTAACGGTTCACCTTAATGACAGCTAGAGTTCTTATAAATACTTAAACCAAGAAATGAATGTAGAAAAATACTAAATAGATGAATTTGTGTAGAAATAAATGTGAAAAAGAAAGTAATCATGAAAAAAAAGAACAGAAAAGGGTGAATAAATGTGTAATTAAATAAATGTATATAACACGTTAAAAAAAAGGGGGAAAAAAAGAATAAATAAATGTGTAAAATATATTTTAAAAATTAAAGTATAAAGACACAGACATAAATAAACAAATAAATAAATAAGATTTTACAAAAATACAAGAATAAATGGACAACTTCATAAATATATAAAATACAGAAATAAATATTTAAAATGCATAAATCAATGTAAAAACAAACATTTGAAAAGTAAAAATATTACATAAATATATTTGCAAAAAATCTAGCCATAAATAAATACATTTTTAAAAAATAGAAAAAAACTTAAGTAAACATAAAAAAATGTAGATAAACATAAACCATAAATGTAAATAAATAATTCTATAAAAATACAGAAACAGCCTCAATAAAAGCTGACGTGCACAAATACAGAAGTAAACACTCTTTATTACCAAACTGCACATGTTTAATGGTCATGAACACAATCCTTCCTTTAGATTCAGATTTTCTGCCTCTGGTGAGATTTTATTAAACGTTTGTCTTCATGAGACTAAAATACAAAGAACAGATGAATTCTGATCTAAAACCACATCAGACGGACGTGGAAGCTTTAATACATCTGACTGCTGAATGTGTGTGTGTCAGTGATGAAGTGTTTGAAACTCCTCGTATGTTGTGTCCGTACTTGGCCATTAAAGCTGGTTCTGATTCTGTCCAGGTGGCTGGACTACTCTGCGGTTGGACAGCGTCTCCACGGGACCCGATTCGTCGCCTTCAAGGTTCCTCTGAAGCAGGTCAGCAGCTGAAGCTTCTGTTCTCGTGGTTTGTCGTCGTGGTTCTGGTTGCTGAGTCCGTTCTCTCTGTCGCCTCCTTCAGGCTCTGAACCGCCGGCTGTCGGGCGCCGACGTCTTCGGTCACTGGGAGCTTCTGGACGCATTGAGCAAACAGAACCAGGATCTGGGTCTGATCATCGACCTGACGTTCACCAGCAGATACTACAAACTGCAGGTAGAAGAACCAGAAGAGAACAGGAACAGAACCAGAACAGAACAATAACAGAACAGAACAGGAGCAGAACAGGAACAGAACAGAACAGTCTAAAATCAGTCCAGACCCGGTTCAGACCCGGTTCAGACCCGGTCCACATCAGGCTGAGAGCTCCCTAAGAAAAACCCTGTATTCTCTGGACTATTAAAAGATATTTTTAAGATCAATAATTGTGATTAAATCCGATGACAAGCGTTCATGAAGCTGTAATCGGCTCCAGACAGACTGTGGTTCTGGTTCCTGGACCGTTAGTCTTCATCTTGTTTCTCTGCAGGACGTTCCTCAGTCGGTGCTCTGCGTGAAGATCTTCACGGCCGGACACGAGGTTCCGAGTGATGAAACCATCCTGAGCTTCAAACGGGCCGTCTGCAGGTTCCTACGAGACAACGAGGACAACGGTGAGCGTCCACGACGACTGTTTTCCATATGTGGTGACAGAATGTATGAAAATATTCAAAATGATGAAATATCAGCAAAATACTCCTGAAATATTTTTTAAAATAGTCAGAAAATGTTGAAAAAATATTTTAAAAATGTAAATGTTGGAATGTTTCCTAAAACCTGAATAAAACTACAAAAATATAGATTAAAAAAAAAAGACAAAATATTTAAAATATATCAATTAATGTTCAGAAATATTAAAATAATGATGAAATATTGCAGAAATACGAAACAAATACACAAAATATTAAATTATTAAATGCATGACTATTATTTAAAACTAGCAAAATATAAATATATAAATATAAAAAATATATTTAATTTGATGTTTCCAAAATATTAATGAAGTTTTTTTAAAGCCCTTAAAAATGTATTTATTGTTTTAATCTCTCAATAATGTGACTTAAATGTCCAAAAGCAGGTACAAACATATTAATTATTTACAAAAAAAATACAAACAATTTTAAATATGTGAAATATTATCAACATCCATCCAAAGTATTTTTAAAATATAATAAAATATCCCAAGTATATATATTTTGAAAAATGTTTTATATGTTATAGTACTTAAAATTTCAAAAACATACTAAAGTATATTCATAAAAATTACTAAAATTATTTTTAAAAATCTAATAATAGCAAAAATAGCTCCAAAATGTTTAAAAATATGTTAATAAAATGCACAAAAATATGTTTAAATACTTCAAATATGGCAAATGTTTGTAAAGTGTGTCCCAAACATCGCCAAAGTATTCATAAAATTATAAATTGTTCAAATAATATTTAATTTTAAAAAATGTTTTTAAAATGAAATGCTTCAAAAATGTTAATAAAATCTCCTGAAATGATCTAAACTTAAAATATAGTCTAAAAAATAATTTAGAAAGTGATTAAAATGCTGCAAACGTCTGAGCCGATGCCTCGTTAATAAACCAAACATTTATAAAAACACTCAAAGTTAGAATCAGGTTTTTAAATGCGTCTGATTCGATGTTCGGTCAGATTGAATGAAGCAGCGTCTGTCTGATCGTCTCCAGATAAGCTGATCGGAGTCCACTGCACCCACGGCCTGAACCGGACCGGCTACCTCATCTGCAGGTACGTTACCTCCCGCCGCCGTCGCTCAGGTGGCTGTGGGCGGAGCCTAACAGGTGTGTGTGACCCGCAGGTACCTGATCGACGTGGACGGGATGGACCCGGCCGCCGCCGTGCAGCGTGAGTCCTCGTCTGCTCGAGTTACCGCCCGGTTCTGGGTTTGTGGCTGAAGCTCACATGTTTTCTGTCCTCAGTGTTCAACTCGTCTCGAGGCCACGACATCGAGCGACAGAACTACCTGGACGACCTGCAGCGAGGCCCCAAGAGGAGGTAACGGACCGCCGACCCAGTTCACACAGAGGCAGGAGTCAGAACCACGACCTGGTTTCATAGAACTGAGCCAGAATGCAGGTCTGGGATCAGTTCAGGAGTCCCTCAGAGTCAGTCGGACAGAACGTCACAGAAAGGTTCCCTGAATGTAAAACATAAAATCCCTCCAAAATGAATTAAAGTTGTTCAAAGTAACACAAAATTAATTACAAATGACCAAAGAAAGTGTCCAGAAGGTTTGGAAACCTGCCCCAGACGACTCAAGAGTCATCAAAAATGACAAAAGCAAGTTTCAAATGACTCAGAAACTTTCCAGAGGAATCAAAGTTTGTCCAGAATCAGGTAAAATTATTCAGAATGACAGAAAGCAAGGCAGCCCATCTAGACAGCCACTAGACACTATCTGTTTTCCAACCTGCTGCTGCAGAGTGACGTGAAACGCGTCCACACTCGCTTGAAATTCAACCAAAACGAGTTAAACTCGTTCAGAATGATTCAGAATTCATCAAATACGATAAAACTTGTTCAAAACGTCTCAAAGTTTGTCCTAAATGGCTCCAGACCTCCCAGAGTTTCTCAGAAGTGACACAAAATGCGTCCAAAGTGATTCAGTTTGTCTAAAATACTTTAAAATCAAAGGTGTGTTTGTTTTCTGGACCCTCACCTGTAGCTCCACCTCATTCAACAGCAGGAGGCTCCACCTGGTGGATCAACGTGGAACTACAGCTGATGTGTGACATCACGTCCTTCTTCTTCTGGTTTATATATTTATGTATTAAATGACAGTTTTATTATCAGTAAACGGCTTCAGAGCGTCTCCTTGGTCTCGACGCCTCTGATCCGTTCCATCATTCAGGGAACAACAGCTGATCAGTGGCTGGAGCAGGTGTTGATGTCACGAGTTAAGCAGATGTGTTGGATGAATCCAGCGACCTGATTGGTTGACTCCTTCGTTGACAGTAACGAGGGGATGGAGGAGCTGGACCAGGAGCCTCAGAGGGGTCAGTCTGCTCATCCTCCACATCTCGGTTCCTCCGACGACCGAGACGAGAGACGAGCTCGAAGCAACGACGCCTGGAGCCACAGGTAGGAAGCCCCGCCCCCTCCTCGCGTTGCTACGGTAACGGTAGCCCGTCAGGACACGGACACGTTTTTCAAAAACTTTACATTTTAACATAGTTTTTAATTCTAAATATTAATGTCAAAATATAGAATAACATTAAGAAAGTAACAGAAAAATATTAATAAAAAAATCCCCAAATATTTTTCTAATATTCATGAAACATTAAAGACTGGATTCTAAAAGTAAATCAATTTAAAAAACAGCTAATAACTGCAAAGTTATGAAACAAATAGAAGTTATGTGAGTCATAAAATACTAAAATAGTTCAACGTTGAAGAATATTAATGAGACGTCTGAAGATACATTTACATTAAAAAAAATATTTATAAACATCCAAAAAGTAGAAAACAAAAACAATGTAGCAGAAATTAATGAAATATTAGAAACAAGATACGAATGTTGCAACAATGTTAATTAAATGTTTTTTAAAAAGAGTAATTATAAGAAATAGTGATAATACATGAAATGTTACAAAATAATTTTTCTTGATATCACCACATTATTTATTTGTTATTTTATTTATTCTTCTTTTTATTTCCACTTTTATTTTATGATTATTTTATTGGTTTATTTTTGTCGTTTGGCGCTCTGACTGCTCCATAAAATATGAACACGTTCTAAAAAATGTTTAAATAAATTTAAAATAAATAAAAGATTTAAAATCAAACATGTGACAAAGTTTTACTTTGATTTATTTATTTATTTTTATATTTCCAGTTTGTTGGTCCGTCACTGACACAGTCCTGTTCTTCTTCCTCTGGTTCTGTCTCTGGTTCTGTCAGGTCCGTTCCTCCTCCGGTCCATCGCCCTCACCACCGCCTCCCCCTAACTCCCCCGTTCCTCCC